GTAAATTACAAAAGTGTTGATCGGAGTATAATGGAAAACAACTGTTAAAATAAATTCAAAAGGAAATAATTTGTGATTTTAGTAACAACATTTGTCTCGGGTAAAAGCTTGGCAAAATCTACTAAATAAACAAAACCGTGATGAACTTGTTTATCATTTGTCGTAAACGCTACCATTAGTGTGATAATTAAACTGTGTTCAGCTTACCAAAAGTTTGAAGTAATTGTCGTTCGTTGCGAAACTCGCAGATCTTACAACTTTAACTTATGATGAATCCCGGTAATGGGAGTTTTAATCCATTGGCGAATTGTAGCGACCAGCCGTATGAGCAGATCAGGCGCTAGAATGTACCACCCTATAAAGACCAACAAGGAAAAAATTTTCATTCAGCCGGGGCAACCTACAAAGGTGGTCAGGAGTAATTTTCCAGTTGCCGCTTCACCAGACTAATAATTGTGGCTGCACAAGATCCAGAAGTGAATCGAATTTAGCAGCTTTTTGAAAGCTTCGACGTTTTTAGCGCGGATGCAACAGAGGAGACAAAAATTTGTCATTACAAAGTTGTCCTTTGATTTTTTCGGGACAATTCTAGTTTTGTCTGCTAGTGCTGATAGGCCCCTAAATCACGAATAAGCAATGTCAATCTTGGTTTTACCTAGTTTAGGTGTGGAACAGATAAATAGAATCACTATCTTGTGACAAAAAAGATCGAGTACGACTGAATGTAGAAAGTTCGGATATTATATGGATCGTAAATAAACGCAGGAAATCGGAAAGATACAGTCCTATTGATTGTCGAAACTACACTCTGCGGAGATTTTCCTTGGCGTAGTTGGGGATTCTGCAACAGCTTTCAAATAAGCGCGAAATGTCACATTTTGAAGTTAGGGACTTCAAGTCGGATTAACATTCTGAAATTTTTAACACTGTTTCCAATTTTGCATTCTATCTTGGGCCACAAGCATTTTCATAAAAAGAAAAATTTAAAGAAAAAAAAAAAACGGAATGCAATGATATTCAACTTTCAGATATCTTCTTGCTGTCGATGATAAGATCAGTGTCGCAATCTTCCAAAATGTAATTTGGTAACCAGTGTTATTACATGAGACCGTCTTACCCACCTTTGGCAACTTGGCGCCCGTTTGGACTGCGTCTTAAGTACTTAATAAGATACAGCACTAGGGTCGGTGCTACACGTGGCGGTTATCCGTCAGTGATATAGAGTGATATCGAGTTTTCAATTTCAAATTTGGCTATCTTTCTGTTAGAGTTTGGCCGTCAATTTATCCGACTTTTAAGCAAACAAACAAACAAAATGAAATAAAATTACGTAGATGTTAAGCTTATCGCTATCCTATGATATCATCAAAGATAGGGATCACCGCAAAGGTTTCTTAGATTCTTTCAAATCCTCTTGATTCCCCCGATCTTAAAGGCGCTCACAAGTAGAGTTTTGAGTTTTCCTCGCGCTCTTTTTTCTTTAAACAACGTAATGTGATAAGATTTCCGGCTAAGTCGGCATTTGACGCATTGACGCAACATGTTAAGCACCTTAAAGGTAGCTTTGAGCTAACAAGACTAATTCTTTTCCCACTCTCTAAACTAACCCGCTTCGAACAAAAAGGAAATGATTATTGACTGATCCCTCAGACTCAATAATCCCACTTTGCCATGTAATGGCGGAGACAATCGTTGTCTGACTGACTGTTTTTTCATTTGTTTTCATGAACGAACATCACAGTAACATCATTTGTACAGTGGTAGTATCTGTTAAGCAGAAAAGTGATTAGGCCCGCAAGTCATCAACTTAAGCTGCCATTTAGGCGCTTGTGATATTTCAATGATTTAGTCATTTATACGACAGCTGTTTATATGTTATATTTTCAATATATAGATTGCTACAAGAGAATATCAACAGTTTATAACCTGTTAATCGCTAACATTGTTTGCTATCCCAAGGTAACTAAAAGAAATGACATATCATCCTACAAATTATTACAGAAAGGCCTAATTCATGAAAAATGAGACCCAACGGCCTTTTCTGGGTGATTTCTTGTTAGATGAAAATAATTGCTTTGACATGCGAAAAAAGTTGCAGTAGATAATAATTACAGTGCCATATCTTTTTAGGTAAAAACACCAAACAAGCGTCTGTTAAGAAAGTATTTGTGTCATCAACTTCCCTCAACTTTTAAGATATAAAAGGATATTAATGAGGCATATCGTTGTAGTCTAAATTCTGCTCAATTTTTTTTCATTGACACACAACATTACATCATAACAGAACATTCATTTTCATAGAACATCTTCTAAGATGTTTTGAATCCAGGATTAAATTTCTTTAAGGTTTGAATTTTCCATGATGCAAAAAAGACAATTGTAGAGCTATAAGAACATGAGCCTTTTTTATAAAACCTTTGTTATCGTTTACGTATTTGGCTTTCCCAAGCCTCTTACGCAAATAATTCCATCGACAAATCCGACGGAGGGTCCTGTTTTCTTAACTCAACCGGTAAAAAAACTGCCCTGTCCCGTAGGGGAGTCTCTGATTGGCTGACCATTGCTTACAGCTGAATAAAAGAAATTTTACAGAGCAATTCTGACAGTCCTCCAGATGTTAAAGGAAGATTGAGGTAGGTAACTTGCTCAAAGCAGATATCTTAAGAGTTTTACTAGTCTTGTAATCTCACGAATCTTTAGAGAGTTTTGACTTATTACAATATGACACGCTCCTTACCGTTTATAACTCTACATGTATATGTGTCGTCTGATTAGTGGAGAAATTTACGTCTTGTGACACCACAACAGGTTTCTGCTTCCCAAATGTATTATCGCAGATTTTCTTTTGCTTGTAACAGGATGCCACGGTATGGTTTAATGAAATCCTTTTACACTAAGCAAAGTACAACCAAGAGAATATAAACTAATAACCTCATGTTACAGCTCAATATCTCAGTTTCTATAAAACTGTTAAGCTGTTAGTGATAGTCATGGTTTTGAAGTGTTTAAGAAATAAAAGATTTGCGGAGAGTGATGAGGAGTGGTATACTCAATTTGCCTCGAAGTTGTGTAGCGCGACTCTTTGGGTCACCACTGCCTTTTGCATCGTGCATCTCTCGAGAGAAGGAATATTTGAAAATTCCCGTCAGTGCCTTACAGGCCGCAAAGGTTCGGTTTCTTTCCTTTCGAGCTACTATTATAATCGGAATCTTAGACACGACCTCTACAAAAGAAAGGAAATTTGACGTATACGGCTGGTTTCGGAATTTTTAAGCTACCTTTTGTCAGTTTCTTTTTCACAATATTTCATTGTGCAGACCGACCGTAAGCTGCTAAGTGACGTTTTTTGCCCTGTATGTCTAAAATAATATTATCTGCCTTCAGAAAATTGATTTGCAAAATAATGTTGTCGATGCAAATCGATCATTGACTGGTTAGAGTAAGCATGTCTTCTAAAAGCTGTTCGAAACATTCCAATCCGCTTCCCAAGATTAACATAGCTATTAATGTAAAGCCCTAAAATATTTCTTTAAATTTGAGTTAAACAATGTCATTTGAATTCATATTATTGCTTAATCCTCCACAATTTGTTGCTCGTTGTAAAAATTTTAGCAAAGATGAGTGTTGCACTTTAAAAAACATTTTGATAAGTTTGCGAGTCCGTTGAATTCACCCCCTTCCACCGTAAACTATATCGCTGAAACCAAAGAGATTATCTGTTTTTTTCTTTGAATAATTAAAAATGCGTTTCTCAACGATTCGAATGGCGAGGCTTGATCTTACAAGTACTGATAATGTTTTTCGCAGAATAATAACTGAAGCGAGGGAATTCCTTCCGCCTATGTTTCCCTAACATAGGAAGACACCGCAAAATGCCCTAAATACTACGGGAAAACGTTTCTTGAGGACCACAAAGTAGCTTCAATACCTCGCACTATTCTATCAGACAGGTGTTTAATGCAGTGGCTTTTAAGGAGTTTAGAGTGCTTCTGACTGGGAAATCTGGATTTAGCGTTTGGGATCCGGAGTTTCGAATTTTGCAATCAAGTATGAAATCCAAATCTGGACTTCGACTCTAAGAAATCTTTCTTCGAAGTAGATTTCAATTAAGAAATCCAACACCGGATCTAAAAGATTTCTTTATTGTGCGTTTTTTTTCTTGTTTTGTTTTTTTTTGTTTTGTTTTTTTTTGAGAGATCCGATAAAGGATTTTCAAAGCTGATCGCGTTAACAGAGGTTACGCATTAGCGCGTTTCTTCGATTGAGCAGCGTACACGAGACGCGCACAATTCAGTTCTCTCTGCTATCGCTTCTTTACTCACAGGATTACCCTGGCAGCTGCGTCTGATGTTATTTTTTTTAGATTACTCCCCAGACCGTTCCGTTATACATTAATATTTGCTCAATATTGCCGTATAAAATAATATTCTCTTTGTGAGAGGTAAGTGATTTCTTGTTGACGGTAGGACACCTACGCGTTGGAAAAGTTTCTTGCATATATGGCTGATATGGTCTCTGATGGAAAGGATCTAAAATATATAAACTCCTGATTGGAATTCAGTTTTATCCTAAATGTCTCCTTTTTTTGCATTAATTTTTGGATGGTCATCAGCTTTTAGCTTTGATCGTAACATCGTTCCATTTCCAAACACTGACTTAGTTTTACTAGCCTTCGATTTGAATAGTTTCTTTTAGGGATTCATAAAAAAAAGATTTCGTTTGAGACATAGTTATTGGATTTTTTGTGTGTATGTAATTTTTTCATTCCATTTATTAGCAAACTAGCGGGTACGTGTATGGTCCAAGACTTGTTACCAACCCCTAGAACGCACTAGCCCTTCCACATATCATCAGTAACACGAATGGAACTACCTACAAAGAATGTTGTTATCTTTACACAATCCATCAATCATCACTGACATGTCCGTGTATTTTGCTTTATTTCTTATTTTGATTTAGTGCTTTTTCTTCATGTTTGGTTTGCTTTATTTTTGTTTAGCTGTGTTTCTGGATAATACTCCGTCCTGATTACTAAGCATTTCATTCCGGAAGTGTACAATGGTTAAAGGTCGAAAAATAAGTAAGTGACTGTTTTATTGGACATTGTGCATCCTAAAAATTAGGCTAAATCGTTCTTGAGAGCAATTTGCTGATTAACTATTCTTCGGTTCTAGGGTAAAAACTCACCATTCCAATTATCATTTTTTTAGTTTTCCCGACAATTTCTCCGATATAGCAGTTTTACAAAAGGCACGGTCCACTAAGGGCAAAACGAAAATATTCCAACCCCTTCTCGCAGGATGATACGAAACACAACCCTATCAGGAGAATATGAGTCCTAACGTGTCTGTTCATAATGCAGCGTGATTTCCTGATTTATCGTTTGAGCATTTATATAGCCTAAAGAGGTTTATCTCTCGGGTCTGAAGCTGTGCAACAATACAACCTATTATAAAGAAAAGTGAGTGAGAAATTTAATGGTGCATTAACCTCTGTTTCAGTAAATCCTGCTTTGCTGCTTTTGGCGATGTGTTGGGCAGTAAATAAATTAGCTCTAGCGCGTGTAATCCCAGGTAAGTTGGAGGTCAACTTTCCTAAGTGGAGCTGAACATCAGTGAAATTTGTGAAAGATTCTCTTTGATCACGTATAGTGATCATATTATTATTATCGTTATTATTATTTTCTTTTTTCTAAACACCGTTGAAAGTAGCGAATACGGTACGCAGTCTATAAGTGTGGGTGAAAACAGTCCAAATCTTAGAAACTGTTTTTAATTGCATTATCGGGCTTTAGGCATCATTGGCGATTGACAAACCAGCAGTGTAGAGTCTATTTGGCTCAGTGGTGGAGATCCGAAGGTCCCGGTTCAAATATCCTCTGGAAAAATCAAATTCGCAATCTGTTTACCTGGCCTCTCGCTCGTGACAGGACAAAGAAACACCTTTTTTTCCTTGTCGAATTCTGTGTCAGATCTGACTGAGGAATAGTAATTTCACTTTAAGAAAATAACAAACAAATGAGCGAAATTTGTGTCATGAGCTAAATCGATCAACTGCAAAGTTTCACGTGGCTTGGAACTTCGAGGTATATTTTTTTTCCTCAACAGCTAAGAACTGTGCTGAGCTTTACAAGTGCGGCCAAACCATCAGTGGTGTTTATACAATCGACCCTGATGGTTCAGGTGCCTTTGATGTGTATTGTGACCAAACGACAGCTGGTGGAGGATGGACAGTGATCCAGAAGAGACTATGTAACATTGCTGATTTCAACCGCACCTGGGATGATTACAAAAAGGGATTCGGTGATTTCCTCGTTCGTGAATTTTGGCTGGGACTGAACAAGATCAAACGCCTGACGCAAAACAAGACAGAAAACAAACTCCGCGTGGATCTGGGAGTAAATGCGAGCAAAACTGTTCACGCTGAGTACGAATGGTTTGGTATTGAGAATGAGACAGCCCATTACAAGCTACACATCGGCAATATTTCATGTAAGCCAATCTACTATTTCACAATGAATGATAATTTTGATGGATGATCACTTTTATCACCAACCTTGCATATGTAGTCATTCTCATAGCTATTCACCCACATGTCTCTCAAACGACTGTATGCCATGGAAATATTGTTGTTATTCGTGTATTTGTATATGGTTATGCATATCACACTCATGAGCCCTAAACGATCCATTTCCTTGCAAGTTACCAGTGACTTGGTGACAGAGAATCCATCAGGTGACACAAAGGCCTAGGATGTATAGAAAAATAGGTGTCAGATTTGACTCTGTAACTTTGATGCTTTGGAATGCAAAAGTGTTTTCTGAAACATCACCTCCACAAGCAATAGTAGCTTATAATTTTATACACACGTAGATGCCAAAAATAAGCCAGAGAAAGGCTCTTAACAATTACGGATTATTGTCAAATATGAAGCTAAAATATATTTAAGGAGGCTCCATAGAAAGGTGACAGATGAAGCAACAGATTCGAAAGTTTACGCACGCTCAGATATAGACATTGGCGAAGTTCTATTCTGAGAAAATGGGGATCTTTCGAGCAAGATTGATCGCGTTTCTTTCGTTGGAATTTCTTAAGATTTTCTGGGCCGTTAAACATATTTGTGCCCTCTCCAGTACCTGTTGATGAGAGAAATTGATAAGACCAAATTTGAGATAGAGGAAGAAAACACAAAATTACAAATAGCGTTGAAACTGCCTCTGTAACCCCTATTTTTTCGGCTTTTAAATGATGACAGGACAATTTTCACATATTGTGAAAATTTTGGGAAATTCACCTAAGCAAACTGAAGAAAATCAAAGCCAAATTATCACTGGCGAGCGCCTCTCTTCGTGGAACCTTAGCTTAATAGCGAAAATTATTTTGATAATATTTACTACAGCAAACGATAGTCCGAACGTTGCTCATCGCCCTTTTGATAGCTTTTAGTAACCTAGAAAAGCGAAAACACAAAAATTTTCTAGAAAAACAATGCGCTGGCGCGCGCGCCAACATTGAGCAAAAACCCTATGGAGCCTCCTTAAGTTTACTTTTTATTCCTCTCTTTTTTGGTGCAGCTGCTACTGTTGAAGATTCTCTCTCCGGTCATAATGGCACGTTATTTAGTACGTGGAATAGATTTCCAGCTGATCATGATTGTGCACGGAAATATGGGGGAGGCTGGTGGTACCTGTACATTGATGGAGTTTGTACTGTTAACTCAAATCTTAACGGCATCTGTCCTCATTCTGGAAGTAATTGCACAATTCACTGGGCAAAATTAAACCCTAAAGCTAAAAACAACGACCCCAAAACATCTGAAATGAAAGTCAGACCAGCAGACTTTTCCTAGAGCATTCTCTTTGAGGAACCGGTAATTTTTTCTTCGGGAAGATTTTTTTGTGTCATGAAACAATTGTTTATATGAAATAATTTACCAGATCCTCTTACAAGACTCTCTAATGTTCTCGGGGGGTTTGATAAAGTTATCTACGAGTTATCAGGCAACGTGATTTATTTGATGAGTCTTTTGATGGAAACAAAACGCAAAATTTGTTTGGTAGAGCTGAAGCTTAAACCGGTGAACTACATCTGATTATGCTGTCAGTTTTAGATTTAAAAACAACTTTCTAGAGTAATTAATTATAATTACGTTAAATCGACTTTATTCTAACTGATTTATTTTAAGGTCAATTGTGAAAGTTTTGAGAAAACGTTGAGATAAATGTTGTGTAGTAAATAAATGAAATCTTAAAACCTTTTTGTATTCGTATGGATGATGATGATGAGTCAGTAATTCGGTCTGGTTTTTCCACCGCAGGAAAATGCACGATAGGTGCACATGGCAGATTTTAATCGGAGTAAAGCAAAATGGTGGACATAGCCTGAGAACGAGGTTGTTTTTTTGGCATCGAGTGTATCCAGGCTTGAAGTGCTGGGCCGCGCATAAACGATAAACCAACCTTGTGACTGTTTACACTTATCTTTCGAATAAACTTTAAAATATTTATTTTCAAGCACAAACGTAAAACGGTGAATCGCTTAAATTGTTAATGCTGATGAAACGCAAAAACAGTGGAAACAGTTAAAGTTTATTGGCTGATTGATTTAATTCGATTGATTAATTCAATTATCTTATGTAAACATTGGCGATGATTACTTTAACATACTGATCAAAAACAACAACCGAGGGAACAGTTAAAGTTTATTGGCTGTTGATTAATTTAACTATCTTATGTAAACATTAGCGATGATTACTTTAGCGGACGAAAAAAAACATACTTTTCTGACAAAAAAACAAAAAAACAAAAAAAACAAAAAAAACTTGTGAAAGTCACTACCACATATCTTTAATTTCAATAAGTCGAAAAACTTGCGGTCCATAAAATGCTTTCTGTGGTATATCGTTCCGAGGTAGAAAACTTCAGATGTTTGTTATCAGATGTAAGCGGGAGAAAACCTGGTAAGCAAAGATCATCGCGTTCACATGCAAATATTTTTTGAGTGACTATGAGGCGAAACCTGACATGTGAATGAAAAATCGGGGAGACAGAGAAAGATTTGAATCACAGCGTTAAACTTTGATGAGCTTTGCAACCGGAAATTTGATAAACGGAGGATTCTAATTAGTACTGGTTTTGTAGAACGCCCTGGTTACTATCATTCTGGATTTCTCCGTGACTCAAGCTAAGTCACAAAGTGATTTATTCCTTTTCTGTTGACTTTGCCGCGGTACTTACGTTAGTCCCCGCATTTTATCTAGCAAGTATTTCCAATTTGTTATGGCATCAACTCTTTCCAAAGTCTTAATCTCCATAACTCTCGATCCATGTTATGAAAACAATGAAAAACACACAACAGCGATTTTGCTGAACACTGCGAGACCTTCAATTCGTTCCATCTAAACTACAGATCCGGCCAGAATATAAGCTTCGTATAGCCTCTTGTTTGATGAAAATTAGGAATATGTCTCAAGTCCCTCTGACTGTACATTCTTATGTTTTCCAACTTACACGAATTCAGCCAGCCCTGCTCAGTTAGACGAGGCTCTGTAAAAGCGGAGTCCATTGTCGAAGTCAGTTTAAGTGTTGTTCATTTTGATTAGTAGCGAGCTTTAAAATTGTTTGGATCTATAAAATGATTGTTTCGTAGGGAACACGAACATTGTCAGTAGAGAAACGATGATAAAAAAAAAAGTAATGATATGTTCTGTATTTCACAGAGGTAGTTCTTGGAGCCAAGCGCTACATTTTCAGTCGATTTTGTAACATCGTGTGGATTCTTCCTAATTTGGATCAATTACGCAAACAAGTTCATTGATTTTCAAGGTGGGCGATCAAGAGTTGTCCTGAATAGGGAATAAATCAAAGACAAAGTGATCATAGAAATGGTTTCTTATCTAAGTAATTATTCACCTTTGAAATTCATTGAAATTCGTCCTGCACGTTTCTTAATTTCTTACCTAGTGACCTTTTTTTACTTTAAAGAGATGATGTTACACACTCGTATTGTGGTCAGCCAGCCGAATGACTATATACGCGTTTCAGGCACAGTCGAGTACATCTACATTTGGCCGAGCTAGTGAATATGTCGGTGTAACAACCACGGCAAAAAAGTAGCGTTCACCGTACAGAATACGAAGATTGAATTCACGGAAAACGCGGCATTTTTCAAACTTTTACCCATGTTCTGCGTACGGAAAATCCAACGTTTTCTGTGCGTTTTCGCACCAGTGAATCCCAATATTCGTTCCATTATACTGTAGTTTTCCTTCGCAGTAAATGCAGGTCAACAAATCATTTTCCGGCATTAACCTTTCGGTTAACGCACTGCAAACAGCTTGTTTTCCTTTTGTTCATTGGCATTTTCCCAGTGTACAACAACGAACTCACCGGAGTTAGCAGCTGAAAACACGCATTTTCCTGGAAGATTAATGTGTGTAAATGCAGGAAAATGCAATGATTTCATGTTTGCTGTTCGTATAACGCATATAAAATGTCATGTTTTCTTCTATTCAGAACCATTTTTCGCACGATTAACGAAATGTTCACAAGAGTTTTCCAGTCGAAAGCATGCATTTCCAATATTTCTTCCCAATGGTGAATTCGAGCAAATTCGATAAAACGCATTTTTCGGCGTTTTACAGTTTATAACTGTTCGTTTAACCCATGGAAAAGAACAGTTATTCTGCTATTCACAGCGGCTTTGCGCATTCCAACTTCCTATTCACTGGAGTTAACCAGTCGAAACATGCATTTTCCGGTATTTTCTCTGCAACGGTGTATTCGAATTAATTCGTGCAAGGCATGCATTTTCTCGCGTTTACCGCCGCTCGGTTAATCACTGTTCTTCAAATTCGATCCAATGGATTTCACCTCCTAGACTCAACCATGCTGAAGGCTCTAAAAGAATTTTGTCCCATTTCCCTCTCCCAAACAAGATAAGCACTCATTCTCAATAAGTTTATTGATGCACAGTGATGTTAGCAGTACAATTTATTCAGAGTCCACAATGGAACCTGACAACAATCATCTTTTTCAGCCTTTGAATCCTGAACTATTATTTTACTCTACACATTTCTTTCTCTCTAAAGCCAAAAAATAAGGAAAACTTAAACCCTTAGAACAGTTTGATTGATACTTTGAATCGATAGGATAACTGTCTAAAAAAAATTATATATACAAACTATAACCAGAAAACTGATTTCTAGATACATATTTAAAGGTCTAAACTTCTATATCAAGCATTTTTCAAAAATGAGTGTACAGGTTTGAAGAACAAATAATTATGTGAACTGCATGAACCTTGGGAATCAAGGCGAACATTCTGAGAATGCCACCTTACATTAAATCTTGTGCCGACATCAGATCTACTAGAAACACTTCTGGTATTTGAAACTGCAATCAAGAACCTAACAAGTTATCTTAATGTTACCACTCAAGAATATCTATTCTTATGACATTACACTTTCATGCTTGGCTACAAACAACATCAAATAGTAATCTAAGAGCAAAATTGGAATTTCGTTACCATTTTAATTAGCAGTTTGTTCGTCAATTACAGGGAGTTTACGTTGTTCTGCAAAAATGAAACAAGTAAAACGATCCAAATAGGGCAGCTTTCTAGAACTTTGTCTTTTTAATTCTTTATCTGGTTAATATGAGTGTAGCGCGCTTTTGATGGCACATTTCACTACTTTAAAGGAGTTTTAGGCTTACGTTGCCCATTGAAATTGTGCACCTCCATCATTGACCTAGCGGGAATCCCCAGGGAACATAAAACCCCTTTCTTAAGTCTACAGTATTACGCCTACTTTACTTCGATTTAATTGCACTTGATAACTTCAGCGTCCAACTTCCTGTGTTTATTCGAGAAATTACATACAGAAGCAATGTTTAAAAATCCTTCCGCCCACAGTTTTACACCCTTAGAAGGAATAAAAGGTTAAGTAGTTGAAATTTCTTCATTCTACAACAGTGCTTCATCATAAAATATAGAGCTTTAAGCTTGGAGAAAAAATTTCATCATATAATGTCTGCTTCACAAAATTTCAATTCGCTGCTCAGTGTAACATATTCACTGACGGTTCAAATGTTATCTTCAACTCCTGCACCTTCAACAAGTTACAACAACAACAACAGAGGATCCGAGAAATGTAATTAACAATCTAAGTTCTCTGATATATTCTTATAACACTTGAGTTGTAAATCTGATTCGTAGAAGACAGCTATCAGCAAAGTGGCAAGCACTTAATTAAATTGGCCAGTTAAAAAAGTGATGATCATTCACTCGCTGCTCGTTTCTTTACTTAACTTCTACGATTTTGTCTTTCTTTGCTTCATGCTCTTTCCCTGATGTGTTTCATCAAACCAAACAAGATTTAATTATTATAATTTTTCAACAGCCAGGAACTTTCCTGACCTTTTCGAAGGCGGTCAAAGAATCAGCGGTGTTTACACAATCTATCCTGATGAAAAACCTCCCTTTGATGTATATTACGACCAGACAAGGGCTGGTGGAGGATGGACAGTGATCCAGATGAGGCTGAATGGCTTCTTTGATTTCAACCGCAGCTGGGTTGACTACAAAGATGGCTTCGGTAATTTCCTCATTCGTGAATATTGGCTTGGATTGGAAAAGATCCACCGCCTGACGCGAAACAAGACAGAAAATAAACTCCGCGTGAATCTGGGAGTAAATACGAGCAAAACTGTTCACGATGAGTACAAATGGTTTGGTGTTGAGAATGAGACAGTTGATTACAAGCTACACATCGGCGATTTTTCACGTAAGCCAGTCTATTCTTCCCTAATACATGATCATTGTCATAGATGATCGTTATTATCACCACCCTTAAATATGGTAAATCTCACAGCTCTTTACTTACATGTCTCGATCTCAAACGATTGTGTGCCATGGAAATATCGTTATTATTCATACGTTTTTATATTGTTATGCATATCACACTCATGAGTCCAACCTTAAACGATCCATTTACTTTCAAGTTCCCTGTGACTTGGTAGCAGCAACACAGCGCTTGCTAACAGTAGCTCATAATTTTATACACATGTAGAAGCCAAAAATAGGCCAGAGATGGGCTCTTAACAATTACATATGATTGACAACTGTGAAGCTAAAATATATTTAAGTTTTATTCCTTCCTTTTTCTTGTGCAGATGATAATAGTACTGCTAAAGAAGGTTTGAACCGGTGA